CGAGAGGCATCGGTCCGCGGCTGCAGAGGACCCGAGCGCGGCCGGTCCGGGCGGAGAAGAGGGGCGAGGGGGCTTGGGAACCGCGTCATCTGCCCCGGAAATCCCGATCCTGGGAGGGACCGAGCGGGGTAGTGGTTAGGGGTGGGACGGGCACCGGGGACCCAGGCTCTGGCGCACCCTCAGCTGTGCCAACTCCGCGAGAAGTTCAGGCCGGTTTCGCTCAGCCCAGCCCCGCGGGGAAAGGGCGGGGCAGGGACCCAACACATCACGAAGAATATAACGCTTAATCCTAAATATCTACCGACAGGTAGACAAAGCAGCGTTGGGGGCAGGCTCCTTGCACGTCGGGAGGAGCATTTTCATCCCAAAGCCACAAGGTGTGTGGGGCCCGGTAACATACTTTCTAAACCTTCCAAATTATGATTGCTCATTGGGGTGGATGTGCTGCAACTCAGAACATCTGAGGGGGACAAGGCTGCCCCTGTATTGCCGGCTATTGGGCCTGTTTAGGTAGATTGAGCTTCCCTAGGTTGGAGCAGTCTACCTGGAGAAGAGCAGGGAGGGAATGCCTTTCACACAACGCCATCAGCTTCCCATTCATTCGTGCATGAAACCATAAATGAGCCAACTTGGCTCCAGATTCACATCCCACTCCCCCCCATGGGTCAAATGAAGGCTAATCCAGGTTAACATGAAGCCCCCCAGCTGTTTGGTTGCTATCCTGCCTTTATCCCCTGCAATTCAACAGCGGGGGGGGGGGCTAGGTGGGGCGACTCCAAGGCAGGGGGAAAAAAAAGATTCTGCACCCAATGGATCTGATGATGAAAGCAATGGGGTCCACTTCCGTTTTTCGGTTGAGATCGTTCCTGGTGACTAGACAGGAGCAAGGAGGGCGGCTGTGGTCATCGGGCTTTTGAGTAGTAGGCTGCAGTAGATTGACCAGAGGTCTGAACAGATCTGGGGTGGGGTGGGCGGTGAGACATTAAAACTGAGCCAAGGATCGCAATCAGTCTGGCTACAGCAGTGTTTCTCAATCTTGGCTACTTGAAGATGTGTGGACTTCAACTCCCAGAATTCCCCAGAGAAACTACAAAGGAAGGGGGGCAACTATGGGGAAACTGCCTATGGGGAGTGGCTATGACAATTCCCCCCAAAGAGTAATAAACTTATATAATTAAACCCCCCCCCAAAAAAGGGAAGGATAGGGGGGGAAATGAAGGGCCAAACCCATTTCTGGAAGGCAGCCTCTAGCACAGTGTTTCTCAACCTTGGCCACTGGAAGATGGGTGGACTTCAACTCCCAGAATTCCCCAGCCAGCCCCCCCCCAAGGTGCATCTGGCCCCAATCTTACGGCCTTCTTAGAAGCCCTGGCTTTTCCAGGAGACCTTTGGGGACTGACTGTGGAGTCATCCATATTAACGAATTAATGTACTGCGTTTTGTATGATTTACGATTGTTTTATGTATCCCTAGCATCTGTAAACTGCTTAGAGCCTGTCTGGATTCAGGCAGTAGATAAATTGCATAATAAAGAAAGAAAGAATCCAATTATGGTTGACCCAAGATACCACGGCTTGGAGCAAGCGGTGAACATAGTTGCCTTCTCCTCTCAGATCCAATCTGAAAATCAAGCGCATCTCACTGATGTTAAATAGTTTTCATTAGGGAGCAGGACACCTGCCAAGGAGGATGGGTGATGCCCCGTTCAAAATTCTGGTTAAAAATTATCAGGGTCAGCAGCCACTTTATGGTGAAGAGTAGAACAGGGTGCCTTTCAAAATTCTCCCTCGTTTGTGGGCAGGGATAGCGGGAGGGTGATCTCCCAGGTTTTTCTAGGGATAGGAGAAATTCCCTAAGAATTTCTTAAGGTCGGCTTAGTGGTGAAAGTGAGTTCCCTTCCAATGGCTTGCTGCAGGATTTAATGGAAACGTGAGAAAGCAAAGAGGCTCCAGATTCTTTTGTAACGAGAGGACGCGCCTCTTGGCCGCTAATTAGTAAGCACATGGCTACTCCATTCGCCAGAACATTTTCTTCAAATATATTTTCAAAAACAAGTTCTCTTTCAGCAAACTGAATGCGAACGTGGAAGAAAACAAAGCAGGATTGCTTTACAAACTCTAGTTAATGATTTCCCCACTGCCACGTTACAAATTGCACATCGGAAGCAATTTTTGGAAGGACCCTGCATTCTGCACCCAAGGGGCTACAGATTATGCTCTTGTACCCCACATGGAGGCAGGACCAGCTAGCCATTTACCCATCATTGACGCTAATAGGCTTTAACAAAAATATTTCGTTCTTTTGATGAAGCAACACATATAAAATGATGCAATACGGTCAATTTACATGCAACTGTTTTGCTTGCAAAATTTATCCTGTTCCTGTCACAGAGAAGGGGGAAGCAGCTAAAGATGTGAAAACATCACCTGCTGATGAGTGAAATGCTGTTCAGTGACATCCACTCACCTTCCTAAGCTGCTTAAATCCATCTTCTCAGTTGTAAGGACTGGAAACTTGAAAAAAAGACTCTCTTTTTTGTAGATCAATGGTATCACCAAGCAGAGGAACTGGAACAACTTTAGACAAGTCTTATAAGCAAGCAGTCTAATTCATTTTTGATGTCTACGAGCTCAGGCTGCGGCAAAAAACAAAATTCTTTAAGTTGTGCCTGCACATTTTAGTTGGAATTCACCATTTATTTATTTTTTTGCTTCTTGTTGAGAAAATTAGGGGAAAAGAAAAAGTCGCAAGTTTACACTGAACGAAAACACACTCGGGCATTCGCAATGAAAAAATAAAGCACAATAGAACACCTTTCAGAAATATACAAATCCATTTATTAGTTGGCCAATTCCAGTCATTGATGAGGGTTAAGATTTTAATGAAAAAGGAGGAGAAACAACAATCATTTTTCCTTTCTGTTGGATAGTTGCTAACAGACCTGGCCTTCTGCAAGAAAACGGCCCATGTTCTTCCCTTCTCTTCCTCCATTTAAACTGCAAATTTGTTTTTGGTGTGTATATGTGTTACACTTTTCTTTTATGTCCTGCTTAAGGACAGTGGAATTACGACCAGTAATTCAGAGGTCTCAAACAGGCAACTGACTGAAATGTTGAGTCTTTTTTCCGTGTACGCCTTACACGGCTTGCACCTTAACCTCCCGCAAGACAGGAAGAATCAACCCAATTATTGGAGGTGGGGTTGGTGAAAATGATGCCTTAAGCTTCTATAAGACCTAAGGCATCTGTTTCAGACTTTATTACAGTGGCTGCAAGAGACTTGAGGATATAGGACTGCTTGCCCCTTGAGTTAGTCTGTTAATCAAGAGGGAAGTTTTAACAAGAAGAGCTAGCTTCTTTAGCCTTGAAAAAAAAGGGACGGGCGAGTGAGGAATACAGAATAAAATCAAATCACTTGAATGAAAGCAACCATAACTTTCATTTGAGCAGTGTTACCCTTGGTATGGAACAGTGTTTCTCAACCTCAGCAACTTAAGATGTGTGGACTTCGACTCCCAGAATTCCCCAGCCACCCAGTTGCTGAGGTTGAGAAACACTCGTATATAAGATCCTCATATAAAGAGTCAGGATCGAAGTAAAGAAAAGTCCAATGAGTTCTGGACAGCGCCAACAAGATGCTGTTGTGCTCATGGCAGTACCAGGACAAACTCACTCCTACCGGTCTTTCTTCTTTGAGATATGGGGAGGACGAGGCTGGCGGGGAGGCAGGCTTAACTCTAAATCTGGTTTCTGTCCAACCTTAGCTGTTGACCTGTCTCCCTGACGGTTCAGGTTGGCGTCTTCTGCAGTGATGGGATGGATAATCTGGCCGGGCTGAGTGATCACCCGGGGGGCTGTCAGCTGTTGAAAAGCCCGTTGCGTGTTCCAAGTGGAGCCCACAGGCACTTGAATGCTGCGTTCAAACTGCTGACTGTTCTCAAAGGGGAAGGGGAGGTGATTCACCTGGGGGAAGAAAGGGATCGCTGTCAGTGGCCAAGATTGAAAAGGAGAGCATCATGTTCTCTGGGTCTGCACTAGCAAGCCGGCATCAGAATAAGGCAGCAGAGGCCTTCTGAACTAGGGGTCATTTGTAAAACTAGTATCTTCGTGTATCTTCCAAAGTTCATGATTTGTAAAACATGGATACTCAGCAACATACATAGTGAATCTAAGGTTTTATATCTACAGAAAATAATGGCCTGCTTTATAAATCCTGTTAAGAAAAGATTTAGAACTTGTTTCAGGTACTTGCATAGCAAAAAAAAAAAAAAAAAATTGCCCAAAGTCTTGTATTATTTCCACAATCTCACCCATGCAATCTTGAGTGTGACTTTAGTGTGATTTCTGGAAATTATTCAAGATTCTCAGGAGTAAAAGAACCTTTTAAATGTAGTTTTTTCTTTAATATTGGATTCCCACAGATTGTATGTAACTATATTGTAGGTGCCATATTCCTGATCCCTGCATTAAACCACTGGCTGAGTATGCACAACACACTTAAACCAGGTTAGTTAAAGATGGAGTACAGGTAGTCCTCGCTTAACAACCACAATTGGGACTGGAATTTAGGTCACTAAGTGATGCGGTCATTAAGCAAATAATCACATTAGTGGACCCGGTTTTACCTTTTTTGTGGCAGTTGTTAAGTGAATCATGTAGTTGTTAAGTGAATCACACAGTTCCCCATTGATTTTGCTTGCTGGAAGCCAGCTGGGAAGGTCGCAAATGGCAATCACATGACCCTGGGACACTGCAAAATTTAGGTCACTAAGTGATGCGGTCATTAAGCAAATAATCACATTAGTGGACCCGGTTTTACCTTTTTTGTGGCAGTTGTTAAGTGAATCATGTAGTTGTTAAGTGAATCACACAGTTCCCCATTGATTTTGCTTGCTGGAAGCCAGCTGGGAAGGTCGCAAATGGCAATCACATGACCCTGGGACACTGCAACTGTCATAAGGGCGAGCTGCTTGCCAAGCACCCGGATTATGATCATATGACCGTGGGGGCGCTGTGACAGTTGTAATTTCAGACTACGGACATAACTCACTTTTTTTAGTGCCATTGTAACTTTGAACAGTCACTAAATGAATGGTTGTTAAGCGAGGACTACCTGGAGTGGCATTCTTATTCTAAATGTGGTTATATTTTTGGTAGCTTTGCACGTTGGTTAAACTCAGGCCATTTGATTCATTTACAATTCAGTGTATTGGCTGAGCTCAGAAAACAGGTTAATTCAATGACCAAGTTAAGTGTCTTGTGTAAAACCAGCAAGTGTGTGGTTTATTTGGTTTGTCATTAGCATGATTTGGGAACCTGTCTGTTACTGCTTAGTTCTGCGTGTTGACCAGGCTATTCTGGCTTGTTTTTAAATGTGAGCCACTGTTGTGAGATGGGTGGCTATATCAATCAAATCAATAAATCAAATTAAATGAATAAAATTTAATTGGAAGAACCATCCTGCATCAGAATGTTGTTCTCACCTGGTGAGCTGCAGCTAAAATATTCCGCTGTTCGTTCAGCAGGACGTGGGGCAGGTGCCGGTCTTTCCTTGGGGGTCCAGGGGCTGGCTTGATGAGGAACCTAAGGGAGCACAACCGAAGCAAGAGATCAAGCAGAGAACAGGGTGGGCCTTGACAGCCACCCACCTCTTTTTTTTTCTTTTTTTATAAACGTTATAAAACGTTTTAAAGAGAACATAAAAACTAACACAAACTAATTCAGAATAAAGAAAACAAAGAAAGAAAATGAGAAAGAAAAGAGAAAAAGCAAAAGTACAAAAAGA